TTTTCCTTTATAACATGAGATTTAATTATATTGCATTTAATTCAGTTAAGTGTTCATTTTCAGACTCAATTTGTAAGTGTTTTTCAAGTTAGTGGAAAGAGTACTTCATTTTCCTCCTCATTCTTTTTTCCTTTACTTTTCCTTCTCTTCTTCCTTCCCCTCTTTCTCCTAAAGTAAATTCTTCAGCATTATCTGCTGCTCCCAGGTTTTCCAAGTTGTGGCAACTTGGAGCTCGGAGCGGCTGTCGAGGTGCTCTTGTCTGGGGGCTCCTGACCTGTGGTTTGCTTACACACGTGGAGCCCTAGGTAGGCTTTTGTGGGGAGCTTTTATGGGGAACCTTGAAATTGTGGGCAAAATTCTGTGTTCCTGTGCATTTCTCTGGAAAGAGGGTCTATAGCTTCATCAAGGAGAAGGTGTCCTTCATCAGAGGTGTCCTTGACCCCAAAGGTTAAGTAAGTGTCATTGATGAGAGAAGCAGTGCCCAGGAAGTGAAAATGACTCCTCCAGGACCACAGAAATGTATAGTGACAGACCAAGGAGCACACTCTAGGTCTGTTGACTCCAAGTACAAGGCTTTTTCTGCTGCATTACGAAAGCAGGCTTAGTTTCAGTTTTAATGGAGTCAGTGTACATTCAGTCTTTACGCCTTCTTTTTTTTTTTTAAAGATATTTATTTAGTTAACAGAGAGAGAGAGAGAGAGCACAAGCAGGGGGAGCAGCAGAGGGAGAGGGAGAAGCAGGCTCCCAGCGGAGCAGGGAGCCCGAGGTGGGGCTCGATCCCAGGACTCCGGGATCATGACCTAAGCTGAAGGCAGTTGCTTAACTGACTGAGCCACCCAGGTGTCCCCCTTTATGTCTTCTTAAATCTGTGTGCCATGGATGGCTAAGGAATTAGAAATAAATTACTAATAAAATCAGAATAATTAAAACGTCTTATCGACCAACCCAAACCAGAATGCTCTCTAAATTTCAAGTGCTCGAATTCCTTTCATATAAAATTTCACCTACTCCCAGTGTGCCGGTATCATATATGTCTGAAGACAAAGCGAATGAGAGGGGGAGTCAGAGAGAAAGAGGCAGGCCGGTGGGTCATGAGTGTTGGAGGTGTGGAGTGGGGGTAAGCCAGGAACGAATAGTAAAAACTTCCAAATAAGCAAGTCAGTTTTCCTCCCTAACTTGTAATGGATGATGGGGACACCCTCCCTTGGGAGGACCCAGGATTTGTTGAAATTTCCAAATTTCAAGTCAAGTAAGCTCATCAGAAGAGAGAATTGCAACACCCCAGCAACTGATGGTGGAGCCATAGGGACAGTGGACATCCCTGCACGAACCACTGTGCACCAAGTACTCTCTCGCGAAGTCCACAGGCACCAGGCGGCTCATCAGTAAAGCTTCATTTTTAGCTTCACGGTCCACATTCATGTAAATTACCATCTTTTCAGGCACAATTATCAACTCCTCCCCAAATGCTCTGATAGTGGCCAGCTCATTGATTGTTAACGACCATGAACGGCTTTTAATTTCTCTGTGAGCGGAGGTGTGGTCTTCAGTGTGCCGGGAAAGGTGCTTTTTCTCCCCAGGGGTGATACAGATGATGGTTTCATCTTTTTTTTCTCATGCTCTTGTATAATAGAATCAAATCATGCCCAGACAGTTTAATCATGCCTCTCATAATGGTGGCTGTAATTCTTTGGGGTCTGTTTTATTAGCAGTATTTAAAAATCTGCAGAAACTCAGATTGCTCAGCTGGCCAAACAGCTTGATGTCTCTTTCCAAACAATTTTTTTTTTTTTTTAATAAAATAAAGGCAAGGAAGGAAGGAAGACAAAGTGAATTGAGTCTATGGCGGAGGGTACTTGGGCAAGGCCGGGTTACTGCCTGCTGCTTGAGAGGGGAGGGAGGGCCAGGGGCCAGAGGAGCTGCACAGGGCTTGCTGTCCCTGAGCCTGGGCCACTGACCGCACACCCTTGAATGAAGTGCTAGTGAGACATCAGGTTGGTTCCAGGGAAGGTGTTGTGGTTAGGTCTGCTCTGGAGCTTTCAAGTCTGGTTTTTTCCCTGCTTTGCTCCTGAGACTGCTTGGACCTCAAGGTTATTGGGACCTCCACGGCTGATGTGTTGTGGGGGAGGGTTTGACTCTGCCGGGCTCCTCAGTCACCCTTTCCCTTTGGCATTTGGAAGTGCAAGTAACGCAGTTGCACTCCTCCCCTGAACTTGCCATCTTTTCTCCGGGCTTTTGGGGGCAAGCAGTGATTTTTGGCAAGACTGAGGTCTCAGCAGGAAACAGAGGCGTGTCTTTGAATTGTCTGCAATTTAGCAACATTTACTAAGCCTCTGGCTATGGCGGCAACCATATGGTGTCGTGTTCTGGAGCATACAGCATTTGGTGGCAGCCTACTGTCCTCAAGGGGGGCATAGGGATGAGTTTTTAATACAACAAGACCATGATTTTGCCTGTGGGAACGACCATCTGCCAGCATCCATTTCTTGGGTGGAAGGAGGGAACAGGATGGAACATAGAGGCAAGCTTAAGCACTTGTATTTCCTTGGCTGGTGGACTTAGGATCTGAGTCTGAAAGTTAGGTGTCACCCTGTGAACTTCCCAACATATGGATGGCCGCTGTGATATATGAGTAAATCTAAGCACCTGATGGCAGAAACTTCTTTTAGTGGCTTCCCGAGATTTTTTTGGCAGAAGCTTCTTTGATGGATTTCCAGAGATTTTTTTGCATCATTGACATCAAAATTAGATGGAAGGGAATCTTGAACAGCTTGGCAGGAATAGTGTGTGTGTGTGTGTGTGTGCATGTGGTGTGTGTGTGTGTGGTGTGTGTGTGTGTGTGTGGAGAACCTTGGATCTTGATATTGAAAGGATACCCTATAACCTTTCAGGGGCCGTGTTTGGGGGGAAGCCAGTAAATACTTAAAGAGACTTATACTTTATTTCTTACTAAAATATTCACAAATATCCAGTATAATATGACCGTTTACGCCCCCAACCCAAACTAGACAACCTGGTAACAGAATCTGGGGGGGACTGACAATAATCATAAAGCAGATGGGATTTGACTAGGAAAAACTACTCAAGCTTTAGAGTTGTTTCCAAAGCAGACTCTTAAAAAAACGTCAAGAGATATTACATATCCCACCATCCTTCATCCTCTCTCTATATGAACTTAGGTCCTATATAACTTGAAAATGATCAGTTATACTTTTTATGTCGCCCTCTTTGAGGCTGGAAGAGTATGTATTTTTCCCCAGGTGTCTCCTTTCCCAACTTTGTATATCTAGGCAGAGCCTGAAAATCTCAACAATTATCTGAACACGAAGTGTGTGTGTGTGCAAATAAAGCACTAGTTTAGGAGCAGAGACAGGAAGTGCATTTTGGGAATTCCAGTCTCTCGTGTACTCCATTGGCTCAGGTATGAGAGAACAAGGAAGAAGAGGTATGAAGTAGATACCCGCGCAACAAATCAGTGATCATTAGATGAAAACCCATACAAAACCAAGAATTAGCCTGGGAGCTTGGCATATCACACTGTCCATTAACAAACTCTAAGGCTAGATAGATGTTTCACTCAAGGAAGAGAGAACAATGACATGGAGCACATGAAAAAAAATTGTGTGGAGCCAAGGAAAGGATATATGACCTGGACAACTCGGAGGAAGGGCATACCGTTAAGAATCATCTCCCACAGGGGCGCCTGGGTGGCTCAGTTGGTTAAGCGACTGCCTTCGGCTCAGGTCATGATCCCAGGGTCCTGGGATCGAGTCCCACATCGGGCTCCCGG